TATTCTATGCCAAGGATGCATGGGGCCTCTGGTCCAGTCATGATGGGGTGTTTCTGTCACCCGTTCCCAGTTAAACTCACTTTGGCCTCTAATACAGTCAGCTGCTGGAATCCTCCTGCTACCCCAGAAACAGAAATGGATTCTGCTCCTACATATCTTGATGGCATCAGGGTACATTGGGCACTGATGTAAACCAAAACTGTGTATTTTTGTGGTTCAGATGTGCCAGGCCATCGAATCCACACGGTCCAATAGTTCTGATTGTCCCTGTCCTCTACCTGGCTAGAGGCTGGGCCCCTCTGTTCCTGGTCATGGTACATGTTGCTCTCTTCATGCAAATAGGTTCTTGAGGTTCCTTCAAGAGGATCAGTTATATCATCATTCCTATATTGTCTGGAATTCTGTGTGTGAGAGACTGGAGCAGCATTGACTCTAGATGAGCTTTTTGTGGTAGGTGCTCTTTTTAGTTCACGTACTCGGGCTGCTAAGGAAGAGGTGGGTTTTCCATCCTATTTCCTCATGTCTTCTCCATGCTCCTGAAGAAAAACCCAGAGGTTTCCTCGTGGAGTGTATCCTCTCTCTGTGGCTTGGGAAAGATGGCTTCTAATGGCAGAGACTCTTGCTGGTTCTGGTGAAATATGGTAGACTTGTTCCTTAAGTTCCTTTTTTAGTTTCTGATTACTCTCTTCAATCAAGTCCCGGACTTGCTCAGCCAACCTTGTTTCTATGGACAAGACATGGGTACGAAATGGGGCGGTGACAGTATCCTTGTAAATTCTTAATTTATTGGCTAAGATGCCCACCCTGTCCTCGTCTTCCCTCCACTGCAGTGTTGCCAGGTAACAGGAGTACATCTCTGGTCCAAGCCATGCAAATCTCAACCACATTTGTGATGTGCACTGGACACAATCTGGACTCTTAGGAAATCTCTCGTCTTCTGAGAAAATTATCTCCAACACAGCCAATTCCCTCAGGCATCGGATACCTTGTTCCATGGTCTTCCATTTTCCTTGGTGCACCTGGAGGTCTTCTTTACAAATGTTATCTGTCCCTCACACTTGTCAGCAGTTGCTGCAAAGGCTGAGAATTTCTTGGGTTCTCCTGATCCCCTGGTCAATGACCATATCCTGGGACAGTGCTCCCAGTTGCCTGGCCTCAGTTCCATCCAGAATGGTGTCATTGGCTGCAGTGTCCCAGATGTGGAGCAGCCAGGTCAGGATGGACTTGTTCATCTGGCGGGTGAATTCTCTCCACAGGTTACGCAGCTCACCCAGGGATAGAGAGCGAGTGATGATTTCTGGCTCTGTCTCTTCCACTGGGTGTGAGGGTCCTCCAGCGCCCTCATCAGTCACTATGCAGACTGATTTGCTCCTTGATTTCTTCTTCTGAATGGGGGCAACTACTATTGGTTCAGGCTGCTCTGGTTTGGTGATGGTTTGTGTGGAGATGCTGATGGCGCTTTTGGTTCCTTCCTCCTCTGTGCCCATTTGTGTAGACACAGACACTCTTGCTTTGCTTTGGGCTTCCTCCTCCGTGACAGTCTGTGTAGACACGGACACTGTTGTTTTGCTTTTGGTTCCTTCCACCTCTGTGACAGTCTGCGTCGACATGGATACTGTTGTGGCATTCTGTATGGACACGGACACTGCTGCTTTGCTTCTTGTTTCCTCTTCCTCAAGAAGACGCTGCATCTGTATGTTTTGCTGCACCACACTATGTATGTTTTGCTGCATCACACTATGTAGTGTTTTGTTTCTAAGCATGTTGCAGACTGTGCAGAGAAGACAAAGCAGAACTAACAAGAGGGAACTTAACATTTTCAAAAACTGCTGTGTCAAGACAGAAAGGTTGGAAAAAATAAATCTTTACCCCTCCCCACAGGGGCTGGGTGTGGTTGCCGAGGCCCCAGATGTAGCAGCCTAGATTAGGACAAGCAAACAGAATTTGGTACATATTCCAAATCACGTTCATTGCCTCACAGGTTATAATGCAATAGACATAATAGATCAAATAAATAAAATAAAGCAATTCTCATACCATACCCTGGTCTATACATGAGCATTACAATCGCCAGATAATTCCCCACGTTCGGGAAAATATAGAGAGCTAGGTATAAGACCCAAAAGAGCATGTTAAGCATCATAGTGAATAGGTACCCTCTACAATACAAAATTGTAATTCTGACTTTTCTCAGTACCTTCTTGCCCTACGTTGGGTGCCAAAAATATGTCCTGGTTTTGAATGCAAAACCAGTGAGATACTCCAAGTCAGAAATACAATTTATTGGGAAAAGGAAAAAAACAAGAAAAATACATGCAATGATACAAAAGGAAGACCACTGACAAAGTCAGAATACAACCTGACACCCCTCTGGCCAGCGTGCTGGTAGCAGTCCAAATTGGAGTGGCTGCAGTCCCCTTGGAATAGCAGATGTGGTTGCTGTGTCTTCTCGGAAACCTGTGGAAAGGCTGCTTCTCTGTCTAGAAATCCCTGGATTTATCCAGGTGGGAATGCCTAACTCCTCCCCCTGGGCGCAGCATCTCACAATGGGCTGATATTATTCTGAGTCAGGAGATGAGTCCTTAATCACCTGTTAAAAGGAACTGGCTCCTGGAGAGTTTTATCTCTGAGTCATGTGGCAAGACATAGATGGGCCTATTAACAGGAGATAAGGAAAACTGCCCAGAGGCAACTGCTACTCGGATGGTAATAGGAAACATCTTGGTGCTTCAATCTTGGACAGCTGTGTTTTGCTGTAAGTTCTTGTTTGCCCACTATTCTTCTCCCTAATCTCCTCCCCTCCCAAGTTGTCAATCCTCCCTAGGCCTACCCCTTTCTCCAGAACATTCCTTGTCAATCCCTCAGTACTCGATACACCATTTGTTTCTTTGTATTCTTCCCCTCCCCTGTTTTCCCTGATAGATTTATGAAATATTAGTCCTGCCTTAGACTCCTCCCCAGCTTTGTCCTCATTGGTTGGTTGTCCTATATCACGCCCCCTAAGTTGTTGTATAAAAGCCTCTGTATACCTCCTAAGTCTTGTCTTGGGCTTGGTCTTGGATCCTCATGTTATCCATCTAATAAATCAACCCAGTTCTACCCCAAGACCCGTGCCACTCTTTTCTGTTCCTGTGCCAGACCAACGATAACTGGGATTTGCAGAGCTCACAGGGGGTATGTCGCACCCCTGTTGCTGCTGACACCAAGCACGCCACCAACACCCAGCACGCTGCGACACAGACACAGCGACACCAGCTCCCCTATTTTTGCCTGAGAGCCTGTCGAGGATTTGGTTCAGGAATGGTTAGCAGAAAAAAGACATAGCAAGATCAATTTATTGGAGCTGCAGACTCTGCAGATTAGAGACCCTGCAGACTAAGCAGTAGCAGCTTACTTGAACAAAGGCAGTCTTCTGCTAAAACAAAGGCAGTCTTCTGTTAGAACAAAGACAGCTTCAAAAGCAGGGTACCCTTGAGATAAGGAAGCCTGGATGAAACTGGTATGAAACTGGTAACGGCACATAGAAGCAGGGACTTTGCATTACACAATACCCACAAAAATGTAGAAGTAGATACATAAAATCCTGTTGATGTAAGAATGATACAGCAATAATAAACCAATAAGGAGCTTGGCTTTTGCAATATGTATGAACTAATTAAGAACTGTATTTAAGCAGCTGATGTATACCAAATAAACTGAGTTTGCAGATTATCAATCGATGTCTGCTTCTCCCTTCTCCGACAAGAGCCCCCCCTTACTTTCAAATGTATAATGATTCGGAGGGAGGGAGTTTACATTTTTTCCATTTCAGGGGAGGCTCAGACACCTGCCTTTACAAACGAAGACAGACTGTCCCTCTCCCAGTGCCACCATCCCAGTGCCACCAGTTCTGTCCCACTGTCACCTCACCAGTGCTCCCAGTTCCATCCATCCAAGCACCCTCCCAGTTGCCCCCAGCCCACCCAGGACTCCCAAACCCTCTCCCAGTCCCTTCCCAGCCCCACCAGGACTCACCCAGACTCCTCCCAGTCTCTTCCCAGCACAACCAACTTCATCCCAACCTCTGCTTTTCCATCCCCAATCTGCTTCTAAATCCTCCAGGCTCTCTCCAATCCCTCCCAGTCACACCCAGCACCCCCAAACTCCCTCCCAGCGTCCACCAGGACCCCATTGTCCTAGGTTGACTGTATGATGCCTTTATCCCCAATCGTCTGCCCTGTTTATGTTGAATAGTAAGTTCTACACCTTTAAGACTTGTTCCAGGAGTGAAGGGGGGGGTGGGGGTGAAGAAGCGCGGAGTTTGTTTTCAAGAACTGCACTCCCTCCTCCGTATTTCTGCTCCTGGACTGTGTTACCTGCGGATGGACCGACAGCGAGAGAGAGCTCTCCTTTACTTTTTCTAGTTAATTTTAGCTAGCTGAGGCAAAGAAGTTCCCTGGACTGTGTTTTTTTCCCTTTCTTTGGACCTGCTCTGGACTGAACACCCAGAAGAGCAGCAGCAGATCGCACCTGTGGCCCAGCGGGCCAGGCCTGGGCCATAGCATTTCCAGCGCTGGAGGGACTGATCAGAGACTGAGTGAGTCCAGCTGCCACCAGGGGGATTTTTTCTAAATTTGTCTCTCTCTTGCACTGGCGAGAAGTTTTATTGTTTAATATTGTTTAAGATTGCTTGTTTAATAAACAGGTTTTTTCCACTTTCCTCCGAAGAGGTATCCTTCCCGAACTGGTTGGGGGGAGGGGCCAATTGAATCTGCTTTCCTAAAGGAACCCTTTTAGGCTTCTTTCCCCAAATTTGCCCTTAACCAGGACACCCTGGAACCCCATCCCACCCTCCCCAGTATCCTTCAAAGCCCTTCTCAGCCCTTCCAGACCCCAAAGCCCCTCTTCCAGTTTAAACCAGGCTCTCTCCAACTCCCTCCCAGTTAGTCCCAGAACACCCCAATCCCCCTCCCAGTCCCCCCAGTGCCTCCCCTGTTGAAGAGAGTCGCGGGAGACAAGCCTCATGCTATCATGATCAACAAGTCTCAGTTTATTGCAGTCGATCACAGTTTCTTTATACAAGCACTAATTAGCTCATACATATTGCAAAAGCGAAGCTCAGGATTGGTAACCTTTCTATTAACACATATATCTTTTTGCGATAAGCCTTGCGGTTACTGCTTCCTTATACTTAATTATCTTTCTGCACACCAAGCAATTTCACATCCTGGCTGTTACGAGACATCTGTTGCTCAAGGTTGTTACGAGACATCTGTTGTTTAAGGGCATAGTTTTCATGCTAAAAGTCACGTACTCTCACACTCTCATCAACTTAAAAATGTCGTGTCCCTTGCTGCGCAGCCATTCTTCAGATAAACTCTCTCCACTTCCCCTGTTTTCTTTATAAGCAAGCAAGGATGTGTTCCATTTTTGTTCTATAATTGACATTAAAGTCCTTTGCAAGCACTGAAATACACACGGCAATACAAGCATTAAAATTACTATAACTAACAATCCTATTATCATAAGCTGCAAATATTTAAGCCAACCCGTGATTCCCCATGATTCAAATGATAATCCAAAAAATGTATCATCCCTCTGTAACACCTGAACATGTTGTTGCAAATGCTGAATTTTCTTATGAATAGATTCGGAACTGATTTTAAAATTCACACAGCACATTCCTTCGAAATCTTCACACCCATGCCCATGAGCCAACAATAAAAAGTCAATAGCTGCCCGATTTTGCAATGTTGCATGTCTTACGGTGTCTATGTCTGTGGCCAGTAAACTTAATAGCTCAGACGTGGCATTGGCTCGCTTGCCTACCCAACATTGTAACTTCTCTAACTGAAAACAAGCATGTCCTGCAGCAAGGCTGGGCATAAAATGAGAGGCAACCACTTGCTCCGCGCAATTAAACAAGTTGACGTTATCGTCACAGGAAGCATCAATGGTTGAGCGCTTTCATCGTGTGGTGGTTACCTGGCTGGTATTGCTATATAGGCCTAATACAGTGCTCTGGCTAGGGAGTGCTATTGTGAGACGCCCAAACGTGCAAGGGCCTCCGGTGGGCCGTTGAGGAATGCCGCTGAATGCTCTGTCCCAACAGATTAAAAAGATTCTGGGTGGCAATCGGCGAGGAATTGTTGTACCTGGGGCTGGGTCTGTTTCTTTTTGAGCTATAGAGTGACAGCAAAAGGAGTGATTTTGCCAATTTTCCTGTTGCGGGGTAATATCCGTAGGGAATGTTATATTACACCAAGCACCGTTGCCTTCTGCCTTTGCTGTTCTTCTTGTTGTCTGTGAATCTTCATATGAGCATTGCGGCTTTTGATTTTGAAAAAGAACTTGCCACACTCCTTGCAAGGAAAAATTGTCATTGGGTCGGTCTCGCCGCTTGTTGTGCTGTGGGCAGGTGAGCTCTTGATGGAGCAGTATCTGCTCTGTGTACCAGATTTCTGCTTCGTGCCGGGAATGGTGCACCGTGTTTTTGTCACCTGGTTTGTACCTCCGTGAATGCGAGCGTGGCCATTCAGCGCTTGTCGGGAACTGAACACAGCGCCACAGTTTGGCATTTCACAGATGAAGGAGGATGAAGACAGTGAAAGACCCTGAACAGCAGGTAGATCTATAGGTCCAACAAGAGAGATTGCTGGTGGGTCAGGTGACTTCTGCATTTCCCTTTCTTCCTTTCTGTCTTCTTCCATCTCCTCATCTTCCTCTAACACTTCCTCTTCTCCACTTGTCAAGTATTCATCTCTTTTCTTCTCTAAGCGCGTTCTGTGTTTCCGTCCCAAATGCAAGATTTTCTTCCAGGTATAGTAGTATTCCACACATTGTGCAACTGTCTTAGACTTAACGCTTGGTGATTATGTGCAAAGCAAGCTAAGCAAGCAGTTTGGCAATGGCGTAAAAAGTCTCTCTGTAAAACTGGGAGTAGCGTTTCAGCTACTTCTCGTTCAGTTTCGTATAAAAACTTGGTATTAAATTCCTCCTCAACTTCTCGCAGGATCGGTGCCAGCACTTTCTGCAGGCGGTATTTCCTCCTCTGCTCTGGACTGTTCATCAACAACCGCTGGTCGCGTCCACCTTGCAGGGACCCACAAAGTGCCTGTTGGCATAGAAACACATAAGTAGCCTCTGCCCCAATATACAACCTTAGCTGGGCCTTGCCAGATTCCTGTCTTCGGGTCCCGATACCTGACCATCGCTTCAGGCCCAGGCTGTTTCAACGGGGAAAAATGAGAAATCACAGGCGTCACCTCACTGTTTCCAAAAATACATAAATGATTAAGCACAAACAAACATTTAAGTAGTCTATCCTGTATGCTACTAATGTCAGAATATTTTTCCAAATACTGTTTAAGGGTTCCATTTGCTCTTTCCACTATTGCTTGTCCAGTAGGTGAGTTGGCAATCCCTGTTACATGAGCAATGTTCCAAAACTGCATGAAACGAGCTATACGCTTGCTACAGTAGGCTGGACCATTATCTGTTTTGATTTTCTGCGGGGTTCCCATGACAGCAATACAACTGTGCAGGTGCCATTCTACATGTATAGCCCGTTCGCCAGCCTGTGAAGTAGCCCATATATAATGACTATAAGTATCTATAGTCACATGGACATACTTAAGGCGGCCAAAGCTAGGTACATGAGTAACATCCATCTGCCATATCTCATTAGCATGCAGGCCCCTTGGGTTGACTCCCACACCCAGACCCATGCCTCTGTTTTGATTACTACAAATTGGACAAGCTTTGGCTATAGCTCTAGCTTCTTCTAAGGGAATCTGAAATTCTTTCGACATGCCTTTAGCATTCTGATGGAAAATAGCATGGCTTTCCCGTGCCTATGACTGCCTAGGAAGTACTGTTTGATGAGAAAGCGAGACTAGCTTATCAGCCTTGGTGTTTCCTTCTCCTAACCCTTCGTCCCATTTATGACTACGAACATGGATGACCGAATATGGTTCAGTTCTATTTCTGAGGGCACGTTTTAATTGAAGAAACAGTTCATAAAGTCGCTGATTCTGTACTTCTCTGATAGTAGCATCCTCAATCCTTGATACTACCCCCACAACATAAAGCGAGTCTGATACAACATTCAACGGTTCATGCAAGTTAGTTACAGCCCAAATGACTGCCAACAACTCCAGTCTGCAAATTGTCATCTGATTTTGCCTCTAATATTTGTTGATGCCATTGTTGTCCCTTTTTCCAACTACTGCCACCTTCCTGGAGCGTTTTCCAGCGTCTGTGAAAGCCGTAGTGGCATCTGGAATGGGCCTGTCTTCTCTGAGGGGTTTCTGTAGCCAGCTCCATTCTCCTAGCCATCGCAAAGGTTTCGGTATAATGGGACCGGTATTGATTTGTGCTGCAGACGATCATAATGCTTCAGCCAGGGCTGTGGAGTTTAAAAGGTACCAATCTAACGTGGCCTTTTCTATGGGCAGATTAATGTCCGTTGGTTCCAGGCCACTGATTTCCAAAATGCGGATGCGTCCTTTTTTGATCAGCAATGCCAAATTTTCGATTTTTGAAGTTGTAGTTTTTCTTTGTTGCAATGGAGGTGACAGCCATTCCAGTACTGCTGTCTCCCGTTTTCTTTAACTGCTGAGTAACAGCTCCTAGTAGGTGGTCTTCAGTACTCCAAATTGTAAGATGCAGGGGGAGATCAGGGTCAATCCTTGTGACAAATCCTGTAGATATGCAATGCATAATTTTCTGAAGTGCATCTTGCTGAGCTTGGGTGACATGAACAGGGGCACAAGGGTCAGTGCCTTTAAGTAGCGGACGCAATTTGTCTAATAAGATATTAGGGATAACAGTGACTGGCTTCAGCCACTGTAGGCCACCTAGAAGCTTTTGGGCCTCATGCAATGTTGTTATTGATATTTGTATGGACAATTTTTGAGGCACAATCTTCTGTTCTGTGATTGTCCACCCTAGATACTTCCAAGGGGTTGACATCTGAATTTTATCTGGAGCTACTACTAAAGAAAAGTCTGTTAGGATCCTTGTAGCATCTTCAATTTGTGAGGCTGTAAAGGGTTCTCTTTGAGCAAGCAGGATGTCATCCATATAATGATAAACAATGGTAGCAGGCATTTTTTGTCGTAGTGGTTGTAGTGCAGCATCGACATACAGTTGACAAAGTGTAGGAGAATTGCGCATTCCCTGCGGTAGAACTGTCCACTCAAATCTTTTGTCAGGTTCTTCATGGTTAAGGGCAGGAAGCGTAAATGCAAACCGTTTGGTATCATTAGGATGCAATGCAATGGTAAAAAAGCAGTCTTTCAGGTCTATTATAAAGATGGGCCAGTCTTTTGGTGTCATAGCTGGGTTAGGCAGTCCAGGTTGAAGTGCTCCCATGGGTTCCATTTGATTATTTACTGCTCTCAAGTCATGCAACAGCCTATACTTTCCGGATTTCTTCTTGATCACAAATATTGGAGTATTCCAGGGACTGGTGGAGGGCTTAACATGTCCTTGTTGATATTGTTCCATGACCAAAAGGTCTGCCTGTTCCAAACTTTCCCATTTTAGAGGCCATTGCTTAACCACAACAGGTTCATTGGTAATCCAAGTAAGTGGCAATGGGAAAGTCCAAGCAATGACCATTACTGTAAAGGGTGATCATTAGTGAGGACAAGACCCAGTTGAGCAAGAATATCGCGGCCAATTAGGCAGTGAACAGTAGGTGGCAGTGCTGTTACAGAAAATGCTGTCGATGCTTGTTTTCCTTCAATCTCGACTGTCAGTACAGGGGTACGATTAGCCAGCGTCATTCCTCCAATGCCAGTGACAGTGGTTGCTGAGGGCTGTATTGGCCAGGTGGAAGGCCAGTGTGCAGGATCAACTATACTCAAGTCAGTGCGTCTATCGAGGAGTCCCTTAAGTGTGATACTGCGTCCTTGATAAGTCAGACGACAGGACTTCTTAGGTCGAGTATTGAGGTCTATGGTGAGCAAGGTTAGGCCCCTCGTAGATCCGAAGCTTCCTTCGTTCCTGGGCTCTTGTGTAAGGGACATTAGTCCCTTGGTCATTTGAGGCAACGGAATCAATCGGGCTAGTCTCTGTCCTTTGGGTACTTTCACGGGGGGATACGGAGTATGAACCATAATCATAAGTTAACTTCTACAATCAGAGTCAATAACCCCCAGCTCAACATACAGACCCAGAGTAGTAGCAGAGGAGCGACCAATTATTAAGCCCCCTATTGGCTGGCCATTTATAAAAATAGGGCCAAAAAGTCCAGTGGGAACCTTATGCAAATGAGTGGAAAGGATGTCAACATCTACTGAGGCTGCCAGGTCCAAGCCGAGGCTCCCGGTTGTTGCTGGTTGGAGTTGTCGGAGGGTGCTGACAGTGCAGCTGCCATTTGTGTCCATGCGCGGCCGCTGCTCGCGCTGTTCTTTGAGTTTCCCTGCTTCCTTCGACAAGCAGTGGAGTTGTGCGTATTGGGTTGGCATTTTCCGCACCATACTCCAGTTGCTCCACATTCTCGACGGATGTGACCTACATTTCCACATCGGTAACACTTCATTCGATTGCTGCCAGCGTTGGTCGAGCGGGGGCGTGCGGCTGCCGCTTGGAGGGGAGCAAGAGCTGCCATGACCTGATTCTGAGAGCTAATAGCTTGCTCACGCAGGGCTGTCGCTTGTTCCTGTAATCCCTCTCCTATTCTCTGCAGGGCATTTACTAAAAACACCTGGAGGCCAATCGGCATAGAGGCAGCCTTTTCTAATAGGTCCTGCACCCTCCAATCCCCTGGGGTCGAATTAATCAAGGCTCTAGTGGTGGAATTGCCATTTTGTAGGATGCATTGTCTTAGCAAGGCATCTTGCATATGATCTGCTACTCCCACTTTAGACAATGCTTCCATGATCTTAATCTACAAAGGCACCAAGGGGCTCTTCTCTACCCTGTTTGATTCCCATATATATAGGTATCCCTCCCGGGGTTTTAACTTTATCCATCGCTCTCTTGGCCACTGTCATAGCTTCCCTGAGTTTGTCAGGTCCTAAAGCTGCTTGGGTCTCAACTCTCAGAAATGCACGTTGCCCTATTAGTTCATCAACCGTGATCCCTGTCAAGGCATCCCCCTGGGCCCTTGGGAGATTTGCACTCAATGCAGCCTCCTCTCTCCAGCGCGCCTCAAACAATAGTCGTTGATGCGGGGTATAAATCAATTTGGCAATGCCTCTGACATCTGCAGGCAACAGCACTTGGGCATTAAACATGTAATCGAGCATCTGTTTAACCGGTTCACTAGAAACTCCATAATTCACCACTGTGGCACGCAACTGGGCCAGCATTTTCCAATCTAAATTTTGCACCTGTGCCTGTTGCCCACCCCCTTGCAGGTTAGGCATATAAATGACCGAAAACACTAAGGTCTCCTGAGCCGCTGCAACGAGATCAGCGTCCCCCTTCTCCATTCCCTCGCGGGTGAGCGTATGTCAGATTTCACGTCTCTCCCTGGCCATGGCCTCCGCGAGGTCAGCTTCTGCCCCAGGGACAGGCTCCTGGCTACTGAGAGAAGCAGTTGCCCGAGGTGGGTGAGGGGGGTTGTGGTGACCATTCCCGGGGATCGTGATACTCGGCGGCTCAGCGGGGGGGGCGGATGGCACGGATGAAGGCACATCAACCGTTTTAAAAAAGGGGGGGTTTGGAGCACAAGGATCTACCGGTAAACCATAATCGCGATTACGCTCTTGCGCTGTCTTCACTCCCTCAGCTGCCCTTTTTTCCGCTTGGCACATTAACAACTCATTGTGAACTGCTTTCCATAACTTACTCATCTTCTTAGTGAGTTTATCATCATCTAACGTCAACTCCCACAACTTATCCCCATATTTTCGCCATTCCCCTAATTCATGTACAGTATGCGGGTCTGAGAAAAAGGCATACGAAGCTGCATGCTGCAATAACGCAGGGAGATCCTTATCTAAATCAAGCCCTTTAAATTGCCTCCGTCTGAGAAACGAGGTGAAAAGGTCATATGCTGCTTGCCTATCCATACTCACGTCAGCGCTGTTGCAGCCCCTCCACGCTTCGGCAGCACGTATCGGCTGAGCCCACCACTGTAATCACTCAGGGCGCAGCACCAGGTAGCGGAGCTTAATCGCCGTCTAGCTGCGGGACCCGAACCCAACGCAACGTCTCACAGATCCAGGCTCAGAGTCCCATCCGTTCGGGCACCAGATGTTGAAGAGAGTCGCGGGAGACAAGCCTCATGCTATCATGATCAACAAGTCTCAGTTTATTGCAGTCGATCACAGTTTCTTTATACAAGCACTAATTAGTTCAAACATATTGCAAAAGTGAAGCTCAGGATTGGTAACCTTTCTATTAACACATATATCTTTTTGCGATAAGCCTTGCGGTTACTTCTTCTTTATACTTGATTATCTTTCTGCATACCAAGCAATTTCACATCCTGGCTGTTACGAGACATCTGTTGCTCAAGGTTGTTATGAGACATCTGTTGCTCAAGGACATAGTTTTCATGCTACAAGTCACGTACTCTCACACTCTTATCAACTTAACACTGTCGTGTCCCTTGCTGCATAGCCATTCTTCAGATAAACTCTCTACACTCCCTTCCTTGTCCCCAGTGCTGTGGGGGCCGGGCTGTGCTCAGGGGGTGCTCCAGGCTGACGTGTTCCACCTGGCAGCTGCAGGTGACCCCGCCCTGGGAGTGGGGGGGTTTCCAGCAGCACCAGAAGTTGGTGGGTCCAGTCCCCGTTTGGGACCACATTGGTGGCCATCACAGAGGGCTCCTGCTGGCCCTGGAACCACCTCAGCTGGATGTGGGCAGGGTAGAAATCCATAATGGGGCAGAGCAAGTGTCCAGGGTTGTGCTGGGAGCTCGAGAGCCCCAGCAATATTGACACAGTGGGATGGGCCTTGGAAGAGTCTGGGAACACACTGGGATCAGCTGGGGAGAACTGAGAGAGATGGGAGAGGGCTGGTGTGATTGAGAGGGACTGGGAATTAAATTGGATAGGGTGGGGGGAGACTAGAAGAGAGGGGAGGTCTGTGATTGGACTCAAAAGGATTTTGAATGGACTGGGAGGGCACTGGGAGAGAGGGTGGAGGTCTGGGAGTGGAGTTACAAGGAATGGGATAGACTTGGAATGGAATGGCTTTGGACTGAGAGGAATTGGGAGGGACTCTGGGGAGGGACTGTGACGACTCTGGGAGAGACTGGGATGGACTGGGAGAACCACCAGAGTCACTTGGGGTGAAGGGGCAGCAGGCCACATAAGGTGGGCTGGGTGCAGTGGGTCAATTCCCAGGGAGGTTTTGAGGGGCTCCAGGGTCATTGCCAGGGCAGTGCCCAAGGGGACATGCTCTGCCCCATGCTCACCTCAGTGGACACTTTGTACTTTTACTGGTAGTGCCTGTCCACTGCAGCCAGCCTGTGCTCCATCCATTCCAGGTTGCTGTTCCAGTACCTGGCAACATTCTCGCCAGAGGAGGCATCCCCCACATACAGCCCCCCATCACCACCCAAGTGCAGGAGTTGCTCCCACTTGTAGATGTTCCTCTGCACCAACCTCACCCGCTCAGTGCCGTTAATGAAGTGACACCCAGACTTAACCATCTCCTGGAACAGCCCTTCGTGTGCAGGACACAGCTCTGGGGGTGCCCCCCGCAGCAGCCCAGAGTAGCCAAGAGTCCTGAGGCAATCCTGACTCTGCAGCCCAAGTGCCGCACGGCCACCAAGGGACCTTTCTTCCCACGGTCCCAGTTCCTCTCTTCCACCCTTCTCCAGATTTTCCTCCCACTTTCCCAGAGCTCCCCAATCACCAGCTCCCCCCAACATCTGTTTGGGGGTCCCATCTCCCCATTTCCCTTTCTCTACACACCGTCCCAACACTTCCCCTCCTGCTCACCTGGAAGCCCTGCGCCCCCAGCAAGGGGGGCTCCAGTGCTACCAGCAGGGCCCCAGCTGCCGCCACACACGCCATGGCCAGCGCTGGGCAGGGTCTGACACCTCCCCCTCCCCAAGTTGCCCTGGTGGAGGGTGCTGGGGGCGAGGGTGGGGCGTGGGTGGAGTCCAGGTGAGGAGATCTGGGTGCTGCGGGACTGCCGGCAACTGGGGCGTCATCAGCGCTGTGCACTCTGATTGGCTCAATTATTAGAGTGCCTTCTCTGATTGGCTGAGGAGAGGCTCGGGAGTACAGAGAAGGAATAGGAAAGATCCCACTGGGACAACAGACCCAGCCTGGGCACAGGGAGGGAATTTATTACCAACCAAACCACGGCAGCACAAGGAGAAGGGAAAGAAATCCCTCCAACACCTTCCCCCTACACAACAGGGATCACCCACAACAGGGGTAATCCACCATGGAGAGACAGGGACATCAGAGTTTAGACCAGAGCCAATTTTATTGTGTGGAGCAGGTGTTTATAAAGGGATTTACTTGTACAGTGCTTATACAGGGATATGTTTTTGATAATAATTTCCCATTGGTTGCACATTCTTCGTGACATCAGGTCACCTGGAAACCTTATCACAAAGTCTCACAACATGTTGCCTGGCCACTACTTGCCCAGGGAGACTTAAACTGTGTCTGTGTCTCCCACAGTTTCTGCTCAGTCAAGCCTCAGATATCGGGCCCCTTTATCAGCTCCAATGTTTTACTCTCTGTTTAATTCCCCATAAGGGGACACAAGGGCTCTGCCTAACAGGGATCACTGGGGATTATCCAGCCCAGATCCTCCCATGGGGGATGGAGCTGCAGCAGCACACCAAGCTCTTCCCTCACTCTCTTCCCTCTCTCCAGGCTCTTCCCTCACTCTCTTCCCTCTCTCCAGGCTCTTCCCTCACTCTGGGCTCTCACAGGGCCTCCCTTAGTGCTGCCTCTGTTGTAGTCTGGTCAAGGCTGCGTTCCTGGAGAAGCTCTCCCCGCACTCCCCACACTCTCCCTGGTGTGGATGTGACGGTGGATGGTAAGGTTGGAGTTTCGCTTGAAGCCCTTCCCACAGTCAGGGCAGCGGAAGGGCCTCTCCTCTGTGTGAATCCGCTCATGTAGGAGGACACTGGAGCTGGTATGAAACCTCTTCCCACACTGGGGACACTCGTAGGGCCTCTCCCCAGTGTGGATGCGCTGGTGTGTTCTAAGGTCTGAGCTCCGCCCAAAGCTCTTCCCACATTCCAAGCAGGTGTAGGGCCGTTCCCCAGTGTGGATCACCTGGTGCCAGATCAGCTCAGAGCTGTTTCTAAAGCTCTTCCCACACTCCCCACATTCGTAGGGCCTCTCCCCAGTGTGGATCCTCTGGTGCCGGATCAGGTGGGAGCTCCGGATAAAACCCTGCCCACATTCCAAGCACTCATAGGGTCGTTCCCCAGTGTGGATCACCTGGTGCTGGATCAGGCTAGAGATGTCTCTGAAGCTCTTCCCACACTCCCCACACTCGTATGGCCGTTCCCCAGAGTGGATCCCATGGTGCCGGATCAAGTTGGAGAGACGGCTGAAACCCTGCCCACATTCCAAGCACTCGTAGGGCCGTTCCCCAGTGTGGATCACCTGGTGCTGAATCAGGCCAGAGCTCTGGCTGAAACCCTTCCCACATTCCAAGCACTCAAAGGGCCGTTCTCCGGTGTGGATCCTCTGGTGCCAGATCAGGTTGGAGCTCTGGCTGAAACATTTCCCACATTCCAAGCACTCATAGGGCCTCTCCCCAGTGTGGATCCTCTGGTGCTGGATCAGGTGGGAACTCTGGCTGAAACCCTGCCCACATTCCAAGCACTTGTGGGGCTTCTCCCTGCCATGAGGCTTCTCCACCAGCTCCGAGCTCTGGCTGGATCTCCACCCACCTTCCTGGCTAAGGAGGGCTCTTTCCTCCCCGCAGCTCCCTGGGCTGGGTTTGCAGCTCCACATGATGGATCTCCAGGGCTTTTCCTCCTCCTCCATTCAGCCACGCGCTGGGAATGAAAAATCCTGGTTTGGGGGAAAAGACAAGAGGAGAGCACTTTGGATTGGGCATCCCTCCTTGCCCAAGTTCATCTCAGAAAATCATTGGGAATCTTGTGTCTGTAAGAACCTCCAAAACACCAAGACTCAGCCCAAAAATGTTGGGAAGGATGGATAAATATAATTGCCTGGCAAAAGATTTACAATAGTACAGCCAGGAGGAAAACAACCCCCACTTCTGGCTGGACAATACCCTTACCTACAGATAGGTCCAATAGTCAAATGGACTGTTCCATCTCAACCCCCCAAAATGTATGGTTCATCCCACATCTGTAACCCTCCCCTAAAGCTTCAAGTGTCTGTAACCCCATTGGCCCAAGTCTTGTTCCAGCCCACCTTGAAGCCCCCTGATAAGGGGTCTCCGAGGAGCCAGACGCTCTCTTAGATCTTCCCCTCTCTTGGATCCTCCTCCCTCTTGGAATTCCCATCACCTAGAACTCTTTGTCTCTCCCGTCCCCCATCACCTCGGGCCTTGCCATGTGCTGCATCTGGCAGCTCCAAGCAAGATCTTTCACCATCCCTAATAAACCCTATATTCTAAGAGCAGCCTTCAGAGATCTCTCGTCCCCATTCATCAAAACCGTCCTGGAGAACAGCATTCACTACACAAAAATCCTGAAAACTTCAAGACACAGATCAAAAACTCCCCAAACATCACAACTCTGCAAAAACCTCCTCCAAAAGATAAAGATTCAGCTGCCACATAAAACCAAAAAACCAATATGTAGCTCAGAAAGCTGAGAAACACCAATATTCACCCCCTGAAAATCGTGGATTCCCCTCCACAGTAACCTGCTGCATGGGGCGGAGCAATGCTCCTGGGGCTGGGGGGAGGCTGCAGATACAGGGAGGGGTGGAACCTTGTGCTGCCTCCTGTTTCTGCTCCTCCTCCTCCTGTGTCTCTGCTTTTCCTCACACTCCTCTTCCTCCTGCTAGTCCTCATTTTCCTGCACAATCCCACCCTCTCCTGCCACATCTATCGTTTGACCATTTTGTTCCTCAAGCCTGCTTCTCCTTCCCTTCTCCTCCTGCCCCCAGGCCCAGCACCCACTGCCGGCTCCCTCTTCCCCCCAGACCCACAGCATCCCAGCCGAGGGGCAGAGATGGAGCTGGGGCAGCGCTGGGCTCTCGGCCGCCCCGCCCTCACTCGGTCCCCACTGCAGCCGCTCCCGCCAGGACAGCGCGGGGGGGCCCGGCCTTGGCGCTGCCCCACTCCCACCTCCCCAAATTCCCCTCGCGGGGGCGATGGGGCCAAGGGGGGGGGCGCAGGTGGGGTCCAGGTGGGGAACGCGGGGAGCTGCGAGTCTGCCTGGCAACTGGTGAGTCATCAGCGCCACAGGCTCTGATTGGCTGAGCTCTGCCTGAGGGCTGCGGCTGCAGCAAAGAGGGGACACCCTGCTCCAGGGGGGATGTCCCACAAACGGGGGACCCCCATGAAAGGAACAAGAGCAAAGTGTCTTTACAAACAGATGCTCTGAATCTGCTCGGAGATAGGGCCAAGGACCATTATATAAGGAAGTGACAGCAGAAGCCATCCGTTTCAAAAAATGTTATCAATTGATGACACAGACAGCTGCTCAGCCAAGGTTTCGCTCAATTCACGAAATTCCAGAAGAAAAACAAAAACTTAACAGAGCCATGAATATCTTTTGCTATACAAAAGTGGGGAATTTATGAAGGGGGTATGTAGTAGGTGGATTGGAAAGTCTGTAGCTCTCAAGTACTTCAGCCAATGGGGAAAGGGAGAGGGACATGTGGCCAGAAGAATTAGGATGAAAAGGAGGCTGTGTCCTCCAACAATTGGCGAGATCCCATGGGGAATGTCCCATGGCCTCTCCCATTTTTAGGAATGAAATTACTTTTTACAGGACTCCTCTGTCTGCTTTGTGGACAGAATCCTCTGGTGATGTCTATTTTTCAGCACACCCTGAGGCTCATCCCGAATTCCTTCCACCATCCAAGGCGGCGGGCAGTGAGTGCAGCTGAAGGTGCCTCACCCTCTTTGGGTGATCGGCTCCCTTGGCTGGCGGTGGCACCGGGCATTCACTGGGGACCCGGGAGTGACCAGGAGACAGACGAGTGACACATCAGGGGGGTCTGTGAAGAGTCAGCAGGGAGAGAGCACTGAAAATCTCATCAGTGAGTGCACTGGGATCTTTGGAGAGTGAACATGGCAGGGCACCCATGGAGGGGAGAAAAAGGAAAGCCAGGGAGGGGTCCTGGCCAAAGGGATGATGATCCCAAAATGTCTCTAAAGGGTCCCTTGAGAGAATGTTGAGGTAGTTTGCAGATTCCCCCGGAGGTAATTGACGACATGGAAACCCAGGGGAGCAATAGGAGAAGTGGAGAAGGTGAAACGTAAATTTTAAGGAATTTAGAGATTTTAGAGGAGCTAAGATTTTAGTTTAAAATAAGCCTTACTAGAGTTAATTAAATTAAATGAGTAAGCCTTGATGAAGTTAGCAGTTAGTAGTTAACTAATAATTGATTGCTTGCTACCACAATGTTTAGTTAGCTGGGATTATAATGAAGAATATAGAAACTGACAAATACATTTTAGGAAAATAAGACAATTGTGGGCCTCCTCTGTTCTGAAACCAATTGAAGACAAGGAATGGGAGTTCTACCAAGAGTTCATTTGTCATATTTGAATTGAAAAGGTAGAAAGGTCAGAACGAGGAAGTCTTCATTAACTTCCTCATTTTTGGACCCCTCCCCGTGAAAGGGACCACCGACCCATTTCAAGGGACAAACTACGCATGCTTAATAGCTTCTGGAGTGATTAGCATACGAAGCAGGGGAATGGGATGTACCAGAATTATGAATATTTATTTTTATTTTGGGTATTCAATAGTTGTATGGATAAAAAGACTCTGTAATCACCTGGAAGGCACAGTGTGTATTTGGGAGCTATCCCGCATGCTGCCCGGCGTTGAAAAAACACACACTTTCTAACTTTAAACTGTTAAGAGTTTTTGTCCATCACATTT